CCGCACACCAGTAGTACCTATATCGGCGGGTCTAGATCCGTCGTTGATATACAGCTCTCCGCTTAGGCCAACTGCGCAATCGGGCAGCCGGTCCAGCAAGGGTCGTCTGGAGAAGTGTCATGTGAAGCGGAAAGACAGCGCCATGACAAGCACGTCGCACACCGCCAGCATCTCGCCTGTCCATAGCGAGCCGGCCATTTTCGAGCCAGGCTTGTACAGAAGTAATACTACTGGTCCTGCCCGCCCCAGCAGTGCTCAGTCTACCGCCAACCTGCTAGAGACACTGAATCGAAGCAGCAGCTTCACTCAAACGCCTCGTACCGCATCTCCCTTGAAGCGTATTGGCAGGAACCAGCTTGGCTCAATCTCCGAGCACAAGCCAAGGCATCGTGCATCAGTCATCTTGACTGTTGACGAGAATGGCATAGCCCGGACGGAAACAACGCGTGCCGAGCAAAGTCCGACTCGATCTGTTCGTGACCGATATCCCGGCCTCTTCGACAGCGACACCAGTGACGACGAGTCGGACACGAGCGAGCAGCCACCCAGTCGTAGCGCGTCGTTTACATTCATCAAAGGTGAAGAGCGGCGCACGAAGGCTGCTAGGCTAGACCCTCCGATCGAGAACCTGGAAGGCCTCAGCATCCCACGGTCAAGCTCACGGGCGTCAAACAAGAGTGTCACCCCATCTCGGGCAGCTATAGCTGCTGCCGCGCAGCTTCGACGACAAGGCAGCGTCAAACGACCGAGCCGAGCTGCCTCAGCGAAGCGCAATCCGATGTCCAGCTCGACTGGCTCATTGATCGATTCGTGCCCAATGGATATGTCAAACGCCGAGCAACAGCAGGCTGTCGCCGGTGCGAACATGCGCAACGGATCCAATGACTGGGCCGCAGTGTCCGGGCAAGGACGCTCCGCGCTCGATGCGCACAACCGGCGGTGGAGCATGATGTCTTTCGAGCAACATCAGATCCCGGCGGTCCATTATCACGCTCAACCACCTTTGCGGGCGGCACCCTTGATTAGATGTCTATGCGGCATCACGCACGACCGTGGATCGCCGTTGGTGCAGTGCTCATCTTGCACGCAGTGGCTACATACTGCGTGTGTGGGCCTGACTGGACACCAACCACCGCCGTCCTACATTTGCTTTCTCTGCACCAAGCCGGCAACCGGTTTACGCTGATCGAGGCGAATGCCAATCCTGCGGATCTTATCCACATATACGCGAGTCTCGAGTTGTCCTCGCCGGTGCGCGTGTAGCACCTTTGTTTGAAGCGTACAAGCGATTTGGATTGAACCAGGCAAAACATCGGAAGGAAGGCAAATTGGTCTCACATGGCGGCTCTCCCTGGAGGAGGCCGGCACGAGCACGCAATGCCAAGATGAAGCGCAGGTTCCTTGGAGGCAATGCTTCATATGTACGCGATAGTCCAAGACATGCGGTCTAGCTAATGTATGCAGCATACTACGCAAGTTTCACATATCTCGCATCCGCAACACACTTCCCTCTCATGTACGCTCTCAGAAGAGGCTGCAAGCAGCTGGTACTGGACATGTAAGTCATTTCCCAATGTTTGAGCCCGATCGCAAGAAGAGTCCTGGAAAGCTTTTCGCTATGCTTGCCTACGAAGCTGTTCGGAATCAGCGCCATTCGCGGCGCCCATACAGCTACCCACCGAGACAGTATTTCGACCTGACCAAAGCAGACATTGTCGCACTTGCTTCAGTGCTCATAGCACCACCACCGCCATACTCGTCCGCCAGCGCAGCTTTCCCTCACGAGATCAGAAC